AAAAACGAAAACGAGCAGAAAGAAATGTAGCTGAAGAATTTAAGAACTGTGGATGGACGGAAACATGGGAGCATGCAAGAAACAGCGCACTGACTACTCTGGGCCGGAGCATCAGGACCCTTGGGCGGGCTCAGGGGGCGGCGCTGCCGGGCGGGGCGCGCGGGGCGGAGGGTGGCACAGCCTTCTGGTTGGTTGGCTGCCGGTGCGGGCTGTCCCGGCCCCTTTTAAACTGCGGCTCGCCGCCGCCTGCTCTTTCGGCCGCAGCGCTCGAGCCGGTGAGTGGGTGCGGGCTGGGCCCGACGCCGGGCTGGCCACGTGGCCGCATGGCTCCCCCGTAGCCCTCCCTGGGCTCCCCCAACCCAGTGCCCGTGGGCTCGGCTCTGCGTCAGGGGCCACGCTCTAGGCGGCGAGGCGCCCCCAGCCCGGGAAGGGGAGCGCGGAGGAAAGTCCTCGTGCGGGCCCTTCTGGGGTGAATCCCGGCGGCTCTGGGGGCGGGGAGGGGTGTGTGTGTTCTCGTGGTATCCGGGTTCCCCGTTAACCTAGCTTTCCTGCAACTCCGAGATGAAGGGAGCTTCTCCGACGCGCAGCTTGCTCCAAGTTTCTTTGTCCACTGGAAAGTTCCGATGACGCGACCTCGAGTTTTAGCTTCGAGGAGGCACCCTAGTCGGGCGCTGGGCTCTGATTGGGGGACGCCGCCTGGCTAGGGGGTGCCCGAGCGCGGGGGGGCTGCGGCGCGGCAGCCGGCCCGGCCCCGCAGGCCAGAGCTGTGGCCTTAAACCCGTGCCCAGCCACGGAAGCGTCTCAGTGGGCACTTGGAGCCGCGACTGGGCTTCAAGGGTCCAGAGGCGAGACCCCTGCCGAGCAGATAATTGTGAGAGTTCCCTCAGGCCTAGCTTGTGCCCGCAGGAGCCACGCTGCCAACATTCCTAGGGTGTCAAGTTTGCTCTCTGTCCTGGGGCGGGGTGGGGGGTGGGGGGTGTCGGACGAGGGAGGAATCGGAAGATGACAGGGACAGGATTGACCGTGAACCTTACCTGTGGCTCACCAAGATTTAAAGACGGTTAGAGCTGCTTGCGGGGAAAGTTCCAAGTGTGTTCACGAGAGATTCAGCGGAACAGGAGCTTTGTAAGCTTTCTTTTTCTGTAAATCATAAGTTATGGTTGGACAACAGATGTTCCTCGAATGTAGTGAACTTTGGCACCATCTAAGTAGATTGGTGTGGAGTGGACGGAGGAATGGTTATTGGAGTGCAGTTTAGAAGACTTGGATTTGAAATAGGAGGCTCCTGATGGGTGCTTAATCTTTATTACCTTTATTTTTGTCTGACGGAAACTGAATGAGACACTGCTTCTTAGAAGCGGGGAAGGAAATGAGTGGTGTGTTTGCGCACGAGGGCGGTTTCTCCGGGCCTGGGTAGCAGGAGAAAGGCAGTGGTCTGGCTCCTGTTTGGCCAGAGCTGTTTAACCATTTCTGTCTGGGAGCAGATGGAAGACTGCCGGAAACGGCTTAGGCCAATGTCTATTTTAGAGTGGTGGGAAAAGGACGAGAACTTTAGCAGCTGCTCAGGCTCCAGTGAATAATCAGTCATGCTTTGGGCTTTAAAACCCCTTTTATTTTTTCGCTACTATTGTGGCCAGTGAGGAATGCATTATTTCATTTCCCCCAACTTTGATACTTTTTGCTACGAATTTAAAAAGGTTGGAAAGTTTGACCTTGGGTGGGGAGGTTCTCAAACTGGAGTTAATGTGCCACTTACATGTACATACATATGGAATATGCCTATGTAAAAGATGTGCTTGTGCACATCTTAGAAAACAAGGGTTAGTTGAGAAGTGAAGCGGATTACACCTACCACAGTAACTAGCTTTCGTTTTACCCCTGACTGGAAATTGCATAAGATCCTTAGGAAAGTCGAAAGTTGCTCTGTCCGTGTTAGCTTTTTTACGTCCATCTATCGAGCTAACTGGTGTCAGCAACGAAAGGGCCATTCCCCAAAAAGTAGCACCATGAAGTTATTCTTAACATTGTTCTTCTCACTTTCCTTCCAGGAGCAAAGTCAAGTTGCTGCTGGACTTCAGGTATGGGGGAAATGGGAAGAGTTTGTCTTGAATAGAATTCTTGGCCAAGGATGAGAACTCTTAATCTGATTGGGCATGCTTTTGCTCTGATGGGTTAAAGGATTTACCTGAGGCCAATGTGGTATGCAAGAATTCACCGTGTGCTTACACCACCTCTCCTTTAAAATTGAGGCTTTAAACTAACTTGATTTGTAAGTGACATTTACTCTTTGAAATAGGCTTTTCTGATGGTGACCCTTTCTGGTGGAAGATAGTCATTTAAATAGCTATTGGGTTTCACCCTACCCCAAAATTAACGTGAATTGGGTCCACATCAGTAAGATGTGATTTTGAGTCCAGTCAATCGGCTGTTTTCGTATCAGAACATTATGTGACGGGCTCATGTGCAATGAAACCCATGGGGCTGGTGGTCCCTTTTTTGGTCACCTTTGACCAGATGCAGGCTTTCTATCCATCAATTTAGTTGGAAAATATCTTTATTTTCCTTCTCTGGCAGGTGTCAAGTTCATATAGGTTCCTATATCTGCAGGTTTTCCTGTATATTAGGAAATTATATTAGTTGAGACCCAACTACTTACTGTATTTTTAAAGCTTATCTCTTGTTATTTTCCAATCTAATCACTGGAATTTTTTTCTTCCTAGGGCTGCTGTGTGAAAGACCCCCGTTTTTCTGAGCAGGTAAAGACCGGAGATGATGGATCCATCCAAAATCAGGTTTTTACCTGGTCCTGGTGGCAGGGATGACTTGAGGGTGTCCTGTAGCTGAGTTGGCACCACAGATCACTGCATGGAGGTTTGTCTCCATGATTTCGAGTTAGTTTTTCTATCAACCAGCCCCAGTCTGAAACTTCACTGAGATACTTTCAATCTCGTGGAGGTCCCCGCCAGACATGCCACTGCTACCCCGTCAATTCTGACCCATGAAACACAACAAACACTGGTTAGCAAAATGTAATTAAGCTTCTGCCAACCAATCCCTGAGCTTGCTGCCAGCCTCAGCATCAGTGGAGAACAGACTGGTGATCAGCGGAAGCCATTCCTTCAGGCAATTTCCCCACCTTTTCCTTCTTCAGTTGATTAAAACAAAAAAAGATTTTGTTTGTTACAGCTTGTGCTACACCATAATCATTTAACTGTATGATTTTAATGATCACATTTGTGGGTGTCTCGGTAGGGGCAGCCTTGGGGAGGTGGAGGGGCTGTTAATGACATAAAGCGGATTTTCTGTATGCATATCGCATCTCAATAAACAAAATGCTGTCAAGAGTGTGCTCCTTCTGGCATCTTCATGGCATTGAATGATCTTGGAAGACATCACTGTGTTCGATCATGATTTCCAGGCTGGAGATAACATACATCAGTCCACCCATCAAAAAGAAATTTCCCTCGTAAACCAGAAAAAAAACCATTTGTGTAACAGCTTTATTTTGAATTTGGTATAGGGGGTCCCCAGGTTACGAGTGTCTAACTTAGTTCAGCCTGCAGTTCTCAACCAACCCCTGGCCTTACCTAAAGTTCTTTTAAGTAGGCATCTCCGAATGTGAGGAGCCCTGGGGGCCTAGTGGTCATGCCTTGGGTTGATAAACGAGGTCACAGACCACCAGCTGCTTTAGAAAGAAAAGGCTTTCTAGTTCCATAGAGAGTTGCCCACAGGACAGCTCTAACCTGTCTTAAGGTTCACCATGAATGGTTTTGAGGTTTCTGGATCTGGTTTTTACCTCCCTTCTAGTTCACTGCCTTCAGGCTACAATTCCTGGATGAGGCAGGACAGGAGGAAATTGATAGTTTTTGAGCAGCCCAGTGAAGACTTGATGTGGGAAGCTTTTCAAGTTGAGGGTCAATTTTTGCCCCTCCCCCTTGACATCCATTCTTGTGGCCACAAGGGGCAGCAAATGGGCTGTGAATGACTGGGCCTGTGCCCTCTATGGGTTACTTTGCAGTTATTTCAGTCCAAGTAAGTACAGACTCAGCCCTAGCCAACACGAGGTAAGATCCTAGGTGCTGAGCCATTGGTCTTAACTCCTGCAAGGTTGGCTACATTGGCCAGTCTGTACTGACCCTGCCAGAACACCATTACCTGGTCATGGGAGATTTAACTCCCACAAACAGGATCTCCCAGGCCAATTCTACCCAGTCCTACAGGGTCACTGAGTACATCAACTTGGTAGCTTTAGAAAGAAATGGAGTCAAATGTTTTCAATTACCAATAGGAAGGGCATCCTAATGAAAATATAAGTCCACAATGCTAATTGTTAGCTACAGTGTTATTGAGACTATAAAGGGCTGCTAACCACAAGATCAGTCTCGGGAACCCACAGGGGACCCTACCTTGCCTTATGGAGTCACTAAGTTGGAGTCAACCCAAAGGCAGTGTGTTTGGTTTTTTGGTCGGAGTCCCTATGCCAGATAAATGTGGCCTGTCCAATGTCAGTTATGCTATTAAGGAGTCCGTTCAGGTAGCTTGAGTAATTTCATTTTACTGGTCTATCCTAGGTAGTTTATGTGAGCTCCCAAACATGAAAGAAAAATGGAACAGCAAAGCAGCCATAAAACAAACAGCTCTAGTTCACTTTCCAAAGTGAAATAGTGGGGTGAGAACACTACCATTCAAGAAATACATACTGTTCACTTCTTTTGTTGAGCCCGGGAATTGAGACCACCTCTGCTGTTACGATGTTCATTCACTTCAGTGTGTAAGATGGAGTGGAGTAGGTTAGAATGTCTCAGATGACGTCTGGTATTGAACATAATTAGTATCTGGACAACATCTAAGAGCCAACTAACTGAATAAGCTAATGATTGGGGTGGTTTATGAACAAAGGAACCATGGTGGCAGAGTGGGTTATGTATTTGGCTGCTAAGGGCCAGGTTGGCCGTTCAAACCTGCCATCGCTGAGGAGGCTTTCTGCTCCGATGCATTTTTTTATTGCCCCAGAAACCCACAGGGGCCGATCGACTCATCTACGGTTGCTAGAAGTCAGGGCAGTGAGTTTGGAGGGCTGTTTTTTGATGAACAAACAATAGTTAGAATCAAAGTTTAGCAAAAATAAAGTAGGGGAAAATGGAACCAAGTGATTGGAGACTTCATGCTTTAGGTTCCAGCCAATTTGGCTCTGAGCTCCGTTGGAGCCTAAGAAAAGCCAGCTAGTATATTAGTGTATTAAAAGCTACTTGATGGTAGCTTTTAAATGGAGCTGAAGGGCTTACGTGCGTTCTGGGCCCTCTTTCTCCAACTCGAATGAGAAGAGCTCTCCGACCCACAATCTCGGCCTACAAGGTAGCCCGCTAACTAATGTTGACCTCAGGAAATGGGGCACAGAGGCATCTGCTCTAGGGAAGTGAGATCAGTTGGCCAGGTGACCCTTAACCGGGTGTGCTCAGCTGATTATCAAGCCAAAGCAGAGGTAACCAAGAAAAGCCATGTCCAGACCATGTGAACAGATAGACCATCAGATGCACATTTGAAAGATCTATTTGTGTTGATAAAGGTTGCCGTTATAATGGGTGCATTGTAAATTCTGATTCTGATGTTCTTTGTGAAATTGATTCATTCTTAATCAGATTATGCTACCCTAACTAGAAGGGCCCCCTAGTGGAGCTTGTCTACAACATAAGGTGTCATTACCACCTGCCCACCCGAAGGGACCGGGCTGCACCATGCCCCTTCAGAGACAAAGCGCAGTCGTACCGGTCTGATGTTTGCAGGACAGAGAGGCTGCCTTGGAAGCCTTCTGACACCATCGATTTTCTACAGAACAAGTGCCCTCACATTGTCACCCTGACTCTGAGCTTCCTGGTGCCCATGAAAAATGTGCACACCAACAAAGGGCATTTATAGAGGTCTAAATAAAGGCATGTACATATGCAAATTTGCTTTTTAATTTTTAAAATTGTTTTATTAGGGGCTCATAAAACTCATCACGATCCATACATACATCAATTGTGTAAAGCACATTTGTACATTCATTGCCCTCATCATTCTCAAAACATTTGTTCTACACGCAAGCCCCTGGCATCAGGTCCTCATTTATTTCCCCTCCCTCCCCGATCCCCCCTCCCTCATGAGCCCTTGATAATTTATAAATTATTACTTTGTCATATCTTGTCCTGTCCGACGTCTCCCTTCACCCACTTTTCTGTTGCCCGTCCCTAATGGAGGGGGTCACATATAGTTCCTTATAATAGGTTC